CCAGCCAGGCGTAAATAAACTCATCTTTGGGCCCAAGTTGCTCAGTTGTGTCCCCGCAGAACCCTTGTTGAAACACCCTGGAAACACTTGCAGCACTGTCTTGGCCTGGCTGCCTGCAGTCTGGCTGTGAAGGCTGAGGTCATCGTGGCCTGACTTGTTCTCACCATGAGCCGGAATGCCCACTATGGTCTTGTCTCTGTTGCTGCAGCTCTTGCATGGCTTTGCACTCGCTCGCCAGGTCTGTGTGGGAGCTGCAGGAGGGTGGGGCCGGGCCTGGCACAGACCCACTTTCAGCTCTGCTGTTTCCTGACGGTTCCTGGCCTTTTCTGCACAGCATCTGTGAAGTGCCAGGGGCCGCAGCCTTGCAGGGTTGCCATGTGGACCAGTGTAAATTGAGGTGATGATGTATCACACCTGGTCCACTGTAGGTGTCACATGACCATAACGGGCCAATGACCACAACGACCACCTCTGGGCCTGAGGCACTGTGCCAGACCTGGTGTGCACCAGGGTCACAGGGGCCTCATGGGCAGCTTTAATGCAGACACACACTCTGTGGTTGCTTCTCTGGTGCTTGGCCCAGCTTAGTACCTTCCTGTTGCCCCTATGTTTGGGGCGGGGTGATCTCTGTAGCCTAGTGACCTATAGGTGCAGTTTGATCTGGGAGAGGTGCTGGCTCTCAAGGCCACTGGCCCTCACGCAGCCCACAGGCAGAGCATGAGTGAGTGTGGACTGGAGTTGCATTCTGCATGCCAGGGCTCTGCTTATCCACATGGTATGACCCAGAAGCATGCAGCTGTGCAGCTTGGCAAAGCAGGCGGTATCTGGGATAATGGGGGGTTGGTCATTACCTCATTAGCTGTTCCCATCTGCAGGTGTGACCCAAGCTGCAGTCGGACTGTCCAGGGTTCAGCTGGGACGTGCTGGTTCTGCAGTTGTGAGAAGGGATAGCTTGCTGGCAGCCTTTCCCCTAGAACCTGGGGCTCATCGTCTGTCCCGTGCACAGCTCTCTCCCTGGAGCATCCTGGGGTGGTGTGAGGGTCCAGGCACCTGTGTGCTGGTCCGCAGAGTTCAAGGCCTGCCCCTCACTTGCCCGTTGACGTTTCGTGGGGAGGTGTGGGTGGGGATTGGGAGCACTCTGGGTAGAGGGCACAGGCACTTATGGCAGTGGGCCTCAGTGGGGTTTGATTCTGCTGCTGCATCCAGAACCAGGCTGGGCCTCCGGGGCCAGGCAATCTGCAGATCTGAGCAGTTCAGAGGTTGTGTGCTGCTGTCAGGGCTCCCAGGGACTGTGTCCACTGTGCTGTTATCTCATGACTGGCAGGGCCTCTTCCTCCATGCTCCCAAGCTCATCACCTTCCCCAGCCCCCCCCCCCCCCGTGTGGGCACATGCACATTCACATGTGCACACACATACACATGCACATGTACTTTTTCCCTTCAGTCTTTCCCATCTCAGAGCTTTGCCCTGTGATTGTTCTAGTTGCCTTGTCCTGGTCTCGCCCCTGCCTCCTCCCACCTCCCTCCTCCCTCCTACCCAGATCTTAGGCCCCACCCTGTGGATCCCACCCTGAACAGGCCCTCCTCACCCTCTCACGGCCACCCCCATGGCGGCTCTCAGCTCTTGGTCTCACACCTAGACAAGCCCCGCAGCCTCCCTCCAGGCCGTGCCTCTGCACTGTGGCCCAGGGGGGTCTCCAGAGGCACACCTGCCTGACTCCCGCCTGGTATTAGGACACACATGGAGTGTTTGGGCAGCAGAGGGCAGTGAGGACAAGAGCCAGGGCGTGGGTCACAGCTCGGGAGGATGATGGCTTCGAGGCCTCTCTGAGCAGAAAATGAGGGTGTGGGGCAAAGCAGGAGGGTCTGGGAGGAGGAAGGGCCTCAGGTGCAAAGGCCTAGGCAGGGCTGCTCAGGGGCAGCAGGAGACCACTGTGTGTGGTGCGGAGCAGGCCAGGGGCAGACTCACATGATAGTGGGACCCGGGCCAGGCAGGCTGAGGGCATGGCCTGGGCCTCGTGGGGACAGAGGGACCCTCTGCGCAGTACGTCACACTGGCCTCCTGCTCCTGTACTGCCTGGTCCCAGGATGGGTTAGGTCTAACCTGGATTCAGAGCATACACTGTTGTCGGTCCATGTGTAGCCTTCCATTGGCGTCCTGAATTTTGTTTGTTTAAGGAACACATGGGAGCTTGCCCCCAGCTCAGGGGTTCTTGGGGTCCCAGGAGCTGATAATGCCCCTATGGCTTGTGTCTCACCACTTTGTCAGGTGTGGGTGTTGCATGTGGCTGTGGCCTGTGGCAGAGTGTCCTGTTGCATAAGCACATTCAATTCTTACTTGTTCTCTTGCTGATGGGCATCTTGCGTGTTTCAGGTTTTTCTCTCGCAGAGCAGGTGAGGAGAGCTTGGTGCAGACCTGCTGTGGGCACATTTAAGAGTTTCTCTGAATGCATACCTCGGGGTGGGATCCCTCAGTTACAGGGCATGCAAATGTTAGACACTAGGAAATGGCAAGTTATTTTATAAAGTAATTTACTATTAATAATTTTCATTCCCTCTGTACATGTATATAAGATCCAATCGATTTATATACTTTCTAACTCTTAGTATTTCCAAGATACTTAATTTTTGCCAATAGAATGGATGCAAAGTGGTATTTTATTGTTGGTCTTGATTTGCGTTTTCCTAATTAATAACAGTGTTGATTACCTTGTCATATGTTTCCCAGCCATATGTGTTTCCTTTTCTGGGAAAAGTCTGTTTTCATCTTATACCCATGTTTCTGTTGTGCTGTGTTTTCATGGTGCTGACTGGGTAGGGAAGGTGTGGTGTCCGCCATAGTGCGGGAGTGTCACCTGGGGCAGGGGGGAGAGGATCGTGTGCCTTGGAGAGCGGCAAGGGCAGGGCTCCAGCAGTGCTGCTCTCGCCAGTTTGAGTGTGGTGGAAAGAGAGAGCCCTGGGCCCAAATCCTGCCCCAGTCACTGACTGCTGGGCAGGGTTGGAGTGTGGCTTCATTTCCTAGCCTTGGTTTCTTCCTTCCTGAAGGAAGACCGGTAAGAGAACCCACCTCCCAGGAGTGGGCAGGTGGCCTGGTGCCATGCAGAGAGCCTTCTACAGACAACTGGTCTGCTCTTGGTGCCTCTGACTGCAGGGGTCCGAGAGGAGGTGGTCCAGGCTGGCGCTGCCTCCTGAAGGCATCCCCTCATTTCTTGCTACTGGCAAGAGGCTGTGCTGCTCCAGGCCAGGCTGCTCTGGGCTCTGTTACCTTGGTCTCGTCCTCTCGGTTTAAATATTTGTGTGCCGTTAGCTCGCAGGTCTTGGAGCATTTACAGAACACATCACTTCCTGCCTGTGAGGGTCACTGTGTCCCCGCCTCTCCCCAGCCCGCCTAGTGGCTGCTCCAAATCCCTAACACTTGGGCAGAGGTGGAACTTTGAGAAATGTCCTCACTCGTCCACAAGAACATCAGCCTTGGTACTGGCTTATTGACGGGTGGGTTTTGGTTTTTGTTGTTGTTTGGCTTGGTTTTGGAAATCTTGTCCAGGAGGCCGCATTGTCACAGTAATGATTTTTCCCAAGGTTGCCAGCACCTCCCTTTTGTTGTAGCCTCAGTCCTATGAGCATTGGCTCACAGAGGGCCACAGAGGGACAATGCGCTTTCCCCACACCCTGGCCTAGTACACGGGGACCCATGCCCAGGAATTAAACGCCTGGTGTCTGGGGTTTGGCTGGGCTTTAGAAAGATGTGGTTGTGCAGAGGGCCCTTCCTCACAGCCCCCAGGGCCGCAGCATTCGAGTTTCTCCTTTCTGCAGCCCTTTAGGAGCTCCTGCGGGGGTCCTTGCCGAGGGTCCCTGGAAGAGGTGACCACATGCATGATGTGTCTGTCGCTGCTGATGGTCTGTCACCCTGCCCAGGGGATGGTACAGGAAAACAACGGAACATTTACAGGGATGAGTTTGAATCTAGCCTTTCCTGGCAGGGCCGGTCCTCTCTGGGAGATGGGTACCCATGCTCAGTGCCGTGTGGCCGCCCAGACCCTGTGGGAGTGAGAGATGGAGAATACTTCTGCACCGTGGCTGGTGGAGGCACCTGCCACAGTTTCCCAGCAGTGGCCGTGCAGCTCACTGTGGTAGGTTTAGTTTGCATTATTTTCTGGAAAAATGCATAATCTGTTCTCATTTTTCAAGCCTGTGTCTGGAGGCCAACCTCATCCCTGAGCTTCAAGGCCAAGGCCTCTCTAGGAGAGGCTGGGGGGCAGAGGACAGTGTGCTTGATTGGCACCCGTGTTCCTGCTCTGGGGTCTGCTCAGCGCTTGTTCCCCATGGCTTTCATGCTAGTGAGCCTGGCCCAGGCCTGAGCCCAGCTGCCTTTTGACCTCTTGCACGTGGTCCTGGATTGCGCGCCCTGTAACTGAGACTGTTCCGGCAAAGGCCAGGACAGCCTGTCACGGTTATAGGTGCGAGAATGCTGTCCTCAGCAGGAGGCCAAGATCTGTGGGTCAGACTAGGTATTTGGTGAGACCCCCTGGTCAGAAAGGGTTACCAGGTTCTCAGGCTCCAGCATGGCCCTGTTGGCTCAGGCCTCTGTGAGGAAGGTCACCTTAATCAGTTCTTCTAGAGCGTGAGCCTGCAGGAGATGAGCTGTTCCCCCTCTCCCTTGGATGTTAGAGCCCATCCGGGCCACCTCCCCTGTCCTCCAAGGAATCCCATAGTCAGGACTCTCGGGACACCTCATGTCCACCAGCCAGTCGTAGTCAGTTTCCAGGGGCAGGTCTTAGGGGTAAACTTTGCATTTTGTTGTGCCACCTGCTGCCCACCTAGTTACCTGGGCAGTAGCTCTGGCCCTGCCCACCATGCCAGCTGCCTACTGCCCAGCCCCTGGGATCCCATTTACTCATCAGGGAGCAGAAGTCACAGGGTGATGGGAGGTACATCTACAGGCCAGAGCAGAGGCCTGGGTGGCCCACAGCCTCTGACCCACTTTCTGTCTCCTCTTACAGGCTCAGCTGTCACAGGCCCTGGAGGAGCTGGGAGGCCAGAAACAAAGAGCGGACATGGTAAGCCCTGAGACGGTGCTTGTTTGCTGCCTCTGTGGCAGAGGGAAGTCCGGGACACCTTGGATCCTGGGTCCCAAGCAGGAACTTGTCCCGTCTTATCCCCATCAGGACTTATCCTGCAGGCATGATGTGGGTCCCTTCTCTGCCAGTGGCAGAGTGCATGTGGCCTGGACAGAACCTCCCCTGCCTAGAACTGTGTGCCATACAAGGTCATGCTGTTGAGACAAAGCAGATGTGAACACTGTGTGGGCCGTGAGGAGCCCGGGGCTGCCAGAGCGGATGTCAGTGCCACCACATCCCTGATCCCCGCCCAGCCCTCACAGGGCCTGTCACCAGCAGGGACAACTGCGTCAGCCTGGGCTCGGGCTTCACTCTGTGTGCGCCCAAAGATGCAGGGTCTTCGTTAGTGTGTGTTTATTTGCCACATGCAGTTTTATTTGTCTGTTGATTATGCAGATGTACTTTTAAGGTGTGTTTTCTCTCCAGATCGCGTCAGCCCTCTGCTCACTTAGTTTGGCTGTGGCTGAGCTCATGCAGCACAAGCTTACTGGTGACCTCGGCCAGGGCTCTCCTTGGGTTTCTCGATCTCCAGTATTAAAAGGCTTTCTGACCATTTCATGAAACAAATGAGCTTTGCTTTTGAAGCATTTGGCCTATTCCAGATATAAACCCACACCATGTTTCCCTGGCCTTGGCCTTGTATGGGAAGGACATAGGGAGGCTCCAGGCCACGTGTGCTACCAGAGAGGCGCCATCAGCATTAGGGTGGGCACAGGACCGGTATCTCGGGTTGAGGCTCTTGTTCCATGTCCTTCCTTGCTAGCCTGAACCCTGGGTAGGTGTCCTGGCTCACTGACTCAGGGCCTTCACCCTGCACTTGGCAGGGGCACGGTGAGGGTCAGTTGAAATGAACTTGCTTTTTAAGTTGTGGAGACAGCCACACAGCCTGCCATGATTATGTCTGTTGTCATTACTGTTGGTCTTGCCTGTGGGGCTGGGTTGGGAGGGTCAGAAACCCGCTCCCTGGGGAGCCAGGGAACTGGGGCGAGGGTCGGGGCAAGGCTGGGCCCAGCACCAGAGCCCAGGTTGGCTGTGCTCAGGGCCCTGACAGTGTGTCTGTGGCTGTACAGCTGCGGGGCCGGGCCCTGGGACTGGAAGGGGCCGGCGTGTCCTGGGACAGCAAGGTTGGGGACGCAGAAGCGAGTGCCAGTGGGTTGTTGGGGCTCAAGTTAGGCAGGCCTGTGGCCGTGGCGAGGATGTGATTTCACGGGGCTGGAGGTGGTGGAGGTGAGACCTGGTTCCCATCTCTGTGGGGGTGCCTGGCTGCTGTGAAGAGGCTGTGGCTAGGGTGCAGGTGTCTACCACACAGCGCAGTGGTGTAGTCAGTCCGGCTGCACTTCTGGCGGATGTAGCGAGGTGGAGCATGAGGGCTGGGAATCCAGGATGACTGTGGTGTTCTGGCCCGGGTGGAGTTGTGGTATGGGGTAGGGGCTAGAGGGAAAGCCCAGCAGCCAGGGACACCTGCTACTGGGCAGACGTCCCTGCCTGGGGCCCTTGAGGTGAGGCCTGCACACTTTCATCCTCGGGAGTGAGAAGGTAGCAGAGAAGGCAGCACCTGAGGATCGAGTCTCTGGGCCCAGTTCTAGCATCCCCCATCTGGTCTAGGGGAGCAGCGTGAGTCGGGGCACCCTGGGGAGGGCAGGTCGTTCACAGAACCCTGGAGCAGGAAGTGTTTGAGTGGAGAGCGACCAACTCCGTCAGACCCTGCCGCAAGGACCTGAGAGAGAAGCAGAGGGTTGGGGCCAGGTGATTGATGATCTCCGTGGGAGCTGTTTCCAGGGAGGCCGAGAGCTGTGAGCCTGACAGTGCTTGTGAGGGGTTTGCCTGAAGGGCCCGAAGGGCAGCTTGAGGTGGATGGAGAGAGATTTACTCCACCTGACGGCCATGGGAGCCCAGTGGGGAGGGGTGTGTGACAAGGCCGGGAAGGTTGTGTGTGACAAGACCGGGGCCGGGCCGGGGTGTCCAGGAGCAGGAGAGAGGCACACGCACCGCAGGCGCAAGTGCTGGTTCTTACCTCTCCTGGTCCGAAGCACAGTGTCAGGCAGGCCAGGAAGGGATCTGTTGGGGGGTGCTGGCTGGTCCGGAGCCCTTGGGCCCATCCGAGATGTACGGGGTGAGCTGAGAGCATGGGTGGTCAGTCGTTTGTCTGCGGTGCTCAAGTGAACACTGGTTTGTGAGCCTAACCAGGGGTAGGTGTGCAGGTGAGAAGCGAGCAGGAGAGGCGGTGAGGTGATGCCCTTCCAGAGGGATAGCAGCTCTCGGGCAGCATCGCAGTGCAGTCTTTATCGTGTGTGCTTTCTAAATTTGAGTGTGAGCCACGTTTATCTTTAGACTGTAGAAATACCAGTGAGTGGTAGCTTTGTTTTTTTCCCTGTGTTTTCTGCAGTGAGCATTCTTTGCTAAAGTAATTTGAAGGGGAACCCATCATAACTGTTGGCTAAGCCCCATGACCTTCAGTGAGGGTGGTTCAGAATGCTACCTGGCAGGAGAGCTGAGTAGAGTGCGGCGTCTGACGCACCAGCAGCAGCACATGGCGGGTGAGGGAGAGCTCTAAACACTGTGGAGTCTGGTGACTGAGCGTGTAGGTGGTTACCAGGAACGGTGCAGCCTTCCCAGCTCTGTGGGTGTTTCGTGGCGGTGGGACCAGCCAGCGTGGCCTTCCTGCTTTCCAGGCCCGTGGACCGTCAGTGTTTCCTTCTTGTTCACTGAGTGCCCAGGCTTTTAAAATAAGGGTGTTTCCTGTTGGCTTTGAGAAACCGGGGCTGGGTTGGGGAAGCCTTGGGAGCCGTGCTGTACTATGTGTAGACATGCCAGGCTTCCTTGGTGTTGACCTAAACTGAAATGTGCCCGGGGTCGTGTTTCCCACTGTGCGGGAGGGCAGGAGGTATTAGAGATGGAGTTGTGCCCAGCACACACCAAGCCTGGGCATTGAGGCTGAGCCCATGGCTCTTGTTGCATCTGGACCCCTTTCCCACAGAAGCCTGACTGCCTCAGAGCTGACACCTTGACCTTGACGTCGGCCCTTCTCTCAGTGCCAGGGTGCTTTTGGGAAAACTGTTAACCCAGGTCCCTCCTCCAGGAGTAGGGAGGACAGGAGCTGGCCTTGGGTACCCAGGCAGAGTAGGCACAATGCAGCGCAGGCCTCTTGGGGACTCACAGGGAGGTCATGACTGTACTTCTCCCTGGGGGGCCTCTGATGTCTGCAGGACCAGCACCTCAGTTCAGAGGCCCCCACCCCTCGCACCAGGGAACTTTGGGGCCAATGGTCAGTGGGGAGTTGCTGATGGATGGGAGCTCCCTGGGGTCACTCCTGAAGCCCTCCCCAGTGGGCTGGGCCTGGGGCTCCATCTGAGTGGGTTCTCAGCATCGCCCACGCAGGCCTCCCATCTGAGTGAGTTCTCAGCATCGCCCACACCAGGCCTCAGTGTAGACAGATGGGCTCTGAAGCGCCTCCTGCTGGTTGTCTTCAGGCCTGGAGCTGCCTCAGACAACTGTATAATCTCTGCCTATAGCTGTCTAGCCCTTCGCTTACTTCATGTTGTTTATTTCATCTCTCTCTCCTCTCTCCCAGCTAAAAGGAAACTAGGAAATGGCAGTGCTCAGGGGTGCTCACAGGGGTGTGAGACTCAACTTCCCACCTACACTCCTGGGCTAGAGTGACTTCTGCTACCAAAGGAAGCCCTTGCCTTGACCGTGGGAGATGGTCATCTGGGGTGTGGGAAGCCTGGAGCCGGCAGATTATGTTCCAGTTCTGGCTCTGCCACGAATTACCTGTGTGACCTTGACCAACCCCAGTCCCCTCACCCAGTTGAGGGACCTCCTGACACTGTCACAACTCGTTGAAGGGGGTTTGTCCAGAGCATGACAGAGCCCAAGGCTAGGCAAGGCCATCCAGCAGAGTGCCCTGCCCAGTGGGAATGTTCTCTGTCCAGCCCAGCCAGCACAGTAGCCACTAGTCACCGGTGTAATTGTGGCTAGGGCAACCGAAACACGAAAATCTTAATGGCTTGTTTTTAATCACTTTTAGTAACCACAGTGGCTGGGTATGTTCTGTCCTGGAATGTTCTGTATTCTTCCTGGCATGTTCTCTCCACCTTTCCTCTTCCACACTCAGGCCCATTTGCTGCTGGCTCATTTGACTCCTTTTTCAGCTTTAAGCTTGCGTTTCTGGCCTCATCCTTTCGTCCTGAGTTGAAGTCCCTGCAGACAGGCTTCTGAGGATTCAAGGTGTGTCCTTGGCTCTGTGTCCGTCTTGCCTCACACGGTGCCCTTCGGGGGAGGGATTGGGTAGAGAGGTGCCCAGCGAATGTAGGGCCATGGGAACCGTGATGGGGGCTGGCCTGTGCTGGCCATGCGCCCCCCTCAGCTGTGTAGGGTGGGCTGCAGGTCTCCCTCCTCTGTGTAAATCAGAGCCCCTCAGTGTCACTGGTGTTCTCTTCTGGGGTTACCAGTAAAACACAAGTGATTCTGCGTGGGGCAAGTTTCTGCTGCTGACGTACGCTGCTGACCTGACTAGCTGTTCATGTTATGGTGGAGGAACCAGAGACTGAGGACAAGTGAGCGGCCGGGGCTCAACATGAGATGGAAAGGCTGGAGCTGGCCTTGGGTCTGGATCTGAGGCCTTTGCCATCCGGTTTCCAGTGACTACCTTGGTTGTGGGCGTTGTCTGGGAAAGAGGCACCCTAGCCCCTGGGACAGCTAGAGCAACCCATGGCCAGGGCATCGCTGACTGCCTCGCTCACACTCCCCGTCTGTGGCAGTGGGGACGCAGCCTGGTGTGTGCACCGTCTCCCAGCCTGCAGCTCCTTTACCCACTCTCTTCTGACCCAAAGTCAGTTTGCTATTTAGGAGAGAAAAAAGAAAAATTTAAACATCTTTAGCTAATTGCAGATGACAAGACAAAGGCAGTTTGACTTTCTGTTATTAATTAGGAAACCCAT